GTCGTGCGGTCGCCGCGCGCGGGCGGCAGCTTCAGCGCCGGCAACGGGGGCGGCGCGGCGGCGGCGGCGGCAGGGGCGGCGGAGGCGGAGGGGCAGGACGGCGGCGCGGACCGGGGTCAGCGGCTGGCGCGGTCGGTGCCTGAGCTCAAGGCCGCCATCACCGCCATGGTGCGCGGGCGCCATGATGACAACCACTTTCAACAACAAATAAGACAACAGCAGCAGCTGGGGCGGCGCACGGTCACCGCTGCCAGCACGGTTTTGTCGCTGCGAGGGCAGCTCGCAGCGGCCGGCGGAGGGCGAGCCGCTGAGTTGCCCGCTTCTAATCACCCATGCGTGCCTCCTCATTTGCGTGCCATGGCTGTCAGGAGGCCCCCTCCATACCACCACCCCTACCCCGGCCCCGCCGGCCGCTGCGCATCCCGCCCGTTTCGCGCTTGCAGGTGGGCCAGCGCGCCTTCGAGGCGCTCCACATGCTCATTCGAATGCAGGCCGGCGCCGAGTGCGGCGGCGGCGACGGCGGCGCCGGCGGCGGCGGCGGCGCAGGGAACGGTGGCGCGGGCGACGCGCTGCGGGCGTCGGTGCTGCGGATAATACCGGAGTCAAAGCTCGACGTGCTGCCGCTGATGTTCAGGCTGCTGTACGCGGAGGGGCAGCTAGAGGGCTGAGGCGGGCGTTGCCGTGCAAGTGGAGGGTGGCGGGCGCCTGGGTGGCGGCACCCCGCTCACCGGGTGAGGTGCCCGGGGGCTGTTCGTCTCCATGAGTCAAACCACTTGGCGACCACCATCAACTCGATGAGAGCGGTGTAATGAACTCATTCGCATACTCTTATCACGGTCGCAGGCCTCGCGCATCCGGCACGCCCCGCTCGGCAGAACAAAGCGGGCGCCCTCCACGAGTCCATAGCCCAGGCATGGCATAAAGTGTTTAGTTGACTTCTCGAGCCTAACTGACACTACATAAGCGCTGGAAGAGGGGAAGAAGAGCAACGTCGCGTCCCGCCTGAGAGCTCACGGTGTGCAGGCCTGCACATGAACCATATGTGTTGCAGTCACTTACTAACACATAACGGCATCGCTGCACGGACGTACGGGCCCTCATGTGATCTGTACTTCTCTGAGTGCCGCCCGCAGCCCGTGGACTGAGACCCCGACATTGTCGTTGCAAGCAAATTTTAAGTTCTGTACAGGATCATCTGATTGCACATAACATGGTGTGCTGGTCTGCGCGCGCAGATCCACAGCGGATGAGCCGTGCAACGACTCAAGGCTGATGATAGCCCGTCCTGACAGAGTGACTTCATCACAATTAAAGGTTTTGGAGGGCCTCCTACACGCCTTTTGACTGGCCAGGCGTGCCCGACGTGGCCCCAGGCAGGAGGCACCGCTATCATGGACGGGCTGCAGGGAGCAGCGGTTGTGCGCGCGCGGCGGGTGCTGCACCGATCGGAAGATTCTTCAGAAGACGATCTGCGATCCGCCCTCAAGCACATCGGCATTGGCAGGTAAGGCCACAGCGCTGGTCGCGGCCCCGATGAGGCGCGGCTAGGCGAGCCGCGGCCCCTGAGCTCGGGCATGGGTCGGTCGCAGCAGTGAGCGGTGCCGCGCCGGCCGCACGCCCCATGGCCACCGGAGGCGTTCCTCTTGCGCGGCCCCATGCCCAATAGCGGCATACTGCCTGCCCGCGGGCCCACCTGCAGCAACGGGGCCCCGCCCGCGCCTGACAGTGTAGTGCACTCAGCTCCCCAAGTAAGGCTGCACGCCCGCCATTGACCCGCGCCCCCCCGCGCCCATCCCCCGCCGCGCTTCCCATGTGCCTTGTCCGCAGGCGCCCGTGCGACGCCGGAATGGCGGGGCAGCTCCGGCCCAGGGGGGACGCGAGCGGCGGCGCTTGGATCAGCTGCAGCGGCGAGACCAGGCACGGGGCCCCCTGCAGCGACTGCGGCAGCAGTCCGGCCGGCTCGCCCCGCGGCGGCCCCGGCATTGCCGACATCAGCGCATCCCCAAATGCGCTCGCCGGACACGCTGCCGGGAGCACATTGAAGTGAGCGGGCGGGGCAAGAAAGAGGGGGAGCGAGGGAGCGGCGGCCGCGACCGGACTGCCGGGGATGACAGCGACCCACGCTTGCCGCACTTCTGGGGCTGTCCTTCAGGGGTGGGCAGGCGGCGCCGACTGGGCGCGGGATGTTTCGGCACACCAGGAGGGGTCTGATGGTGCCCTGTGTCTGGTGTGAGCCCGCGCTTTGCCAGACCCAGCGCCGGCTGCTGCCCGGCCCCCACCCTCGCCCCCCCGCCGCACCCCGCACTCGCAGGCGGCGCGGCCGCGAAGGGCGGGATCAGGGGCAGGCAGCCAGCGCCGCCGCGGAGGGCGCACGCAGCGGCGGCGGCGACGCCGAGGGGTCGAGCCCCGCTGCAGAAGCATCGCCGGGCAAATCCTGGGTTTCCTCAGGGCGGAGCTCCGCCTCCCCGCGCGCGCCCCCGGGCCGCGCCAGCACCAGCAGCGGCGCGAGCAGCAGCGGCGGCACGAGCAGCGGCGGCGCGAGCAGCGGCGGCGGGGGCAGCTCGCGCGGGTGCAGCAGCCCGGTCGCGTGCAGCGCGCACAGCGGCGGCGGCGGCGGCGATTTCGGCGACGACTGCGGTTTTGGTTTCCAGCTGGGCCTGTCGGCGCGGTTATCATGGGCTGATGAGGTCGACGCCGCCTTTGGAGATGAGTTCGATCCCATCTGCTCCGCCGCCAGCGACCGCGCCGTCGCCGGGCCCGACGCAGCGCCCGGCTCGGACCAGCCGCAGCCGCCGCCGCCGCCGCCGCGGGCCGCGTGTGCTGTTTGGGCGGCCGAGGGTTTTGTGGGGCGGCCGCGGGCTCGGCTGCGGGAGGACGGGCCTGAGGCGAATCCCACGGACGTGTGGCGGCGCCCGGGTTGGGACGCGCCAGACCCGCCCCCGCCGCCACCGCGCCACGCCGCTCGGCCCGCCGCTGCCGCCGTTCAGCAAGCCAGCGGCATTGACGGCTCTGGTGGCAGCGGGGGCGGCGACGCAGAGGATGGCCGGGAGGAGTGCGGCGATGAGAAGGTGGGCTGGGGGCGGCCCGGCGAGCCCTCACGGCGCCCGCCGCACGCCGCCGTCGACGCTCCCGCCGCGTCTGCCGTCGCCGCTGAGGCAGGGCTGGAGCCGTCCGAGCCGGGCACCAGTAGCGACGGCGCCGGCGACGGGGGCGGCGCAGCAGACGTATTGGCGGTGGAGCGGGCTGCCTACAACAAAGCGGAGTACAAGCGCTGCGCTGCCTACCGCCCAAGCCCCGCCTACGCGCCCCGAGGCTCGCCGCCGCCGCCGCCGCTGTTCATGTCGGCCTATGACACATGCGCCAGTTCTTACTTGTCGCTGTGGCTGAGGGATCGCGACCCCTCATCGCACGCGGCCCGCGCCGCGGCGCACGAGCGGCTGCTGTCGGCGCTCGCCGCGCGCGACGCAGCCGCCGTGGCGGGGCGGGGCGGGGCCGAGCCAGGCGTGCCCGCGGGGGGCGAGGCCGCTGCAGCTCGGGTGTGCGCCGCCGCCGGCACAAAGCAGCCGTTTGAGGAGGGGCAGCTGCCGGCTGCAGCGGCGCGCCCGCATGGCCAGCACGAATGGCGGCTGCTCGCGGCGCCCCCAACCGACACTCTGAGGCTCGCGCGGCTTGCATACGCCCAGGCCAAGGCGGACGGCGCCGGCGCAGCACCCCCCACCCCACAATCGCCGCCGCCGCGGCGGGTGGCTCGGCTGCAGCCGCAGCCGCAGGCTGGCCGGCCCCCAGCGCGGGGGCTGGCGCACGCTCAGGCCCGCGTGCGGGCGCAGGCGCGCGCCGAGGCGCTCGAGCGGGCGCGGCACGGCCCGCTCAACCAGCTGCGGGACGCAGCGGCGGCGGCCAAGGCGCATGCGCTGTTCGCTACTATGCAGGCGGGCGCGGCTGCCGCGTCGGCCACGCACGAGCAGCGTCTGAACGAAGCGCCAGCGCCAGGGCGAGAGCAGCAGGAGGGGGATGGACAGCAGCAGCAGCGGCCGCAGTGGGAGGAGGGGCAGTCGTGGCAGCATCAGCAGGAGCAGGAGCAGCAGCAGCCGGAGTGGGGGCGGGAGCAGAAAGTTGAGCAGGTACAGCAACAGCAGCAGCAGTTTGACCAGCAAGTGCAGCAACAACAGCAAGAGCAAGCAGAGCAGCAGCAGGAGCAGGAGCAGCAGGAGCCGGAAAAGGAGCAGCAGCAGCAGCAGCAGCAGCAGCAGCAGCAGCAGCAACAACAACAACTGCAGCAGCCGCAGCAGCCGCCGCAGCAGCAGCAGCAGCAGCATCAGCAGCAGCAGCAGCAGCAGCAGGTGGCTAAGCAGCAGAGCCAGCCATTGTTGCAACTGCCGCCACCGGAGCCGCAGCAGCGGCAATCGGCCGCTCTGCAGCCCCAACCAGCCCCGCCGTCGGCGCCTGCAGCCCGCGTGATCATGCGCATCGCGCAGCCCGCCGCCGCCACACCGCACGCGCAGCAGCAGCCCGCGCCGGCGCTGCCAAGGGTGAGGGTCATGGCACCTGCGCCGCTGCGGGCGCCGCAGGCGCGCCTGCTGGTCTCTCCGGCAGACGCGTGGCCGCCTGCTGTGGATGGGCGCGTGCATGTGAATTGATAAACAGATTCCAAGGACCTGGCCTAATGGGCAGCCGGCGGACGCCGCTGGGGGCCAAGGCCCAACGCTGCCTGCATTGCTGGCCCCTCGTGACCGCGGGGGCGGTGTCAAGCCTGAGCGCTTGGCTTTTCCGTGGGCGCGGCAGCGGCGGCAGCGGCGCCGGCGGCCCCCAAATCTCGCGTGCCTGTGACCATGAGACAGGGGTATCACGTGGCGCCCACGCTTCGGCTTGTGCCTCTGTCGATCGCCCCTTCTCACCACTGTGTTTAAAACCTGGGGCACAGGCAGCTGTCATCAGGGGCGCAGCGCGCGGCTGCCTCGCCGACTTCCGCACTTGCGGCTCGCTGCTCATTTGGCCGTTTCGCTCGTCAAGTAATCTCTCCGACACCTGGCGCCGCGAGGCCGCATTCCGCCCGTCGCCACCGGCCATCAGGCGGGGGAGCAGGGGGCCCGCGGCTAGAGTGTCCAGCTGGTGGCTCATGCCCACCCGCAGGAGTAGCGGCAGCCGCGGGAACTTGTATCACTTCTAATAAAAGTGCTAATCCAGCTGTGCTGTGACGTTTGAGGCAGTGCAGCTTTGCTACGTACACACCTCGACCCCTCACTCGGAGCCAGCGTTTGTCCTCTCGCTGCTGGGACTTATTGTAATGTAATGCAATGTATGACTTGGGCGGCGGGCGTTGCCAGTGCAAGCAGGGTTGCCAGGCGCAAACACCCCCTCGCACATGCAAAGCATATTTGCCACATGCATGGATGACCATGGCTGCAGGACTTCAAGACGCATGGCAGAGCAGATTGCGTTGAACTCTTGGGCGGCCGTACAAAGATTGCGTAGACAATGCCAGCTTTATGTGATACAAAATATCAAGCCTTGCGGCAGCTGTCTGTTGCGGGACTCTCATCACAGTCACTCTGTGTTTCAACATACCTGGCACCTGCGCAATGATAGCATCACGTCTGATATCATATCACAGATGCACAAACAACAGCACCACGTGCGCTTGCCTTGCATCATCGACCGATGCTGTTTGCTGCTGCGCGCCACTTGCATGGCAGCAGCGGTACGGGGGCGGCGCTGGCATCAGATCAGCATTGCAGTAGTCGTCAAGCAACTGCGTCCAGTTTCACTTGCCGCAGCGAATTTCAGCTCATGATAGCTTTTTTTGACGCGTTTGGCTTTCATAAATATTCCTCAAGCGTGCAGATCGTTTGACCGGCCCCTTCGCTTTTGCCTCTTCACGCGAGCAGGGGACACGCATCATGGCCACCATCTCCTTTGAAGATGCACTCATCACCCTCATACGCGACATATCCTTGATTGTGCCTGGTCCAGTCGAGTGTTATGGTGCTGTGCTCTCCCACCTGCTGACGCGCTTCGTGCAAATCGCCGGCCCCATGCCGCCGGAGCGACGGCTATTCCCGCCCCGTGCGCTGGGTCAGCTGGCTGCCATAATTGCCGCTCACGGCTGCGACAGCGTGGTCGCGGAAGCATGCTGCTCTGCGATTGACGCGCTGCTCAAAGGGGAGCAGGGGCGCCAGCTGGTTCCACAGCACCAGCCGCTTCTCAGGTAGGTTGCAACGTCATGCAAGCGCAGGCGCTGGTGGGCCGTGCCTGATACGGCTATGATCAGTTCCGCTTTCACTACATTCGACACCCTCAAAGCACACGCCTCCCACAGGGGTGCCCCTCATCGGCTCACCCCCCTGCGCCCCTTCCGCTGCCCCGACAACGCAGATCGCTGGCGCAGGTGCTGCTCAGCCAGCCGCAGCATTTTGTCGACTTTGGGGCCGCCTGGAGGGCCGCGGCCCAGCTTATGGCGCGGGACGACAGCCGCGACGCCCTGTTGCGGGTCTGCGCCCCCGAGGGCCTCGTCGCCGCCGCCGCCGCCGCCTTCAACTCCTCCTTGTTGAGGATGCGGGCGGCTGGCACTCCATCCCCGAGCGACAAGTCGTACTTGCTGCGGGCCGCTGAGGTGTCGATCCTCCGCGTCATCAACCGGCTGGTGATCTTCCGGCCGCAGGCTGCCCCCCGCCTCGCGGAGCGACAGGATTTTGCGGCGGCCCTGCTCTTGCGCACGGCCAAAACGGCTGCCGCCGCGCGCGGCGGCGTTGGTGTTGGCGGAGGAGGAGGAGGCGGCGGGGGCGGCGGCGGCGGTGCCTGCAGAGGCGCTGATGATGCCGCCTCAATCGCTGACCACCTCATAGACCTGGAATGGATGCTTAAAGTCCTGCCCCTCACGTTCCAAGGCTTGGCGTTCGCTGCTGAGGGCGACCGCCCCCAACTTGAAGACGGCCCCAGCATGCTGCCCGCCGGGGACGCAGCCGCGGCGTTCTCGGCGTCTCTCCTTTCCCTGCACCCCCGCCTGCCCGAGCTGCTGGCGGGCATCATATCAGACCACACACCAGCGGCCTGCGGCGGGGACGAAGACCGCGCCCACGTCCTCGGGTTTGCGTACGCCACACTCTCCGACCTGGCGTCTTGCAGCGACGCGGTAGCTGATTACGCCGCCGTGTCGCCCGCGCTGGCGCAAACGGCGGTTGCGGCGCTTCAGGCCGGCGACGCCGAGCTCGTGCTGCGGGTCGCGGAATACCTGACAAATGTTGTGCAGGGGCCAACACAGCTCTGCGACAAAGGGCAGCTGCCAAGGGCAGGTTTGTACAGGGGTCTCGCCCGGTCCGCATCGCTGCGCGAGCTGCTCCCCGACCCCGCGCTGCCGGCGCTCGCGAGGGGCCTGTGCGTCTTGGGCGACGGCGAAGAATGTGCGGATTTTGGCTGCATCCTGGCGGGGCTTCTCGAGCAGCTGAGCCATGAAAGAGCCGAAGCATCGACCTTGCTGTACTCAGATGCCGCCCTGCGCCCGGGCTTGATATCGACACTGGAAAGGCGGCTCGTCCAGTGGTACGCTTGCTTGGCGGGTCAGTCGGCGCGTGACGGCACATTCCTCGCAAAGTGCACCGTGAACGACACACCCGAAATGGCCATCCTGGAGAGGCTGTGCCGCGCGGCGCCGCCTGGCGATGACGAGGATGAGGCCTTGATCGTGCGGGACTCCCTTCAGGCCGTGATCGCGGCCCGGGCGGCTGGCGTCGTCGACATTGGCGCGCTGTTCGGCGCGCTGCTGGAGCAGCTGTCATGCCTCAACACGGAAGTGTGCGACGGCTGCATCGCAAAAGCCAGGCTCCATGCGGCGGCGAGCCGCGACACCGAGGCGGCGGTTGCGGATGACCAGAATTCCGGGGCGAAGGCCAGCGTCGCGGAGAAGCCGCGGGCTCCCGCCTGCAGCGTGTGCGGCGAGGCGCAGGGGCCGGACGGCCAGCGCCCGCACCTGTGCAGCGGCTGCCGCAAGCCGGGGCTGCGCTACTGCAGCAAGGCGTGGTGAGCTGCAACCCGATAACATGCATGGGCTGACCCCGCAGATTGGCGCTCTGCATGCAGCCCCTGCTGCTCTGCTCTCTTGCAAGCGTTTATCAATCAATATGGATTGTGATGCACGGCTGCCGCCTTGCCGCTTCTGCTTGCCTGTAATTTACTGAGACCATCCATCCACCGCACCCCGCAGCCAGCGAGTCCACTGGAAGGGCGGCCACCGGGAGGAGTGCAAGGCGCTGCAGAAGGAGCGGGCGGAGCGCTCAGCGGCGCAGGGCAAGCAGGAGTAGCGGGCGCCCGGAGGCTTTGCAGGGCCGTTGCGTTGTCTTGCTGACCGGACGATTGGCAGCCCTTCCGAATGTCAGTAAACCCTGAACCCTTAAACCTTGAACTGCTGTGTGCAGCAGCTCTTTGACAACATGTGGAGTGCGAGAGGGCGCCTCATTCGTAAACCCTTTCGTCATTTGCAGTACAGTATGTGTCTGATGCACTAGGGCTGGGGGATTCTGGAATGTGTTCATGAGGGCACTGAGGTATGTTGAAGCAAAGGAATGACGGATGGAAAGGGGGTGCGGCCGCTCGTGGGTCCTGGACGCCTGTACAATATACACAGAATTCGGAATGCAGCGCAACAGGGGCGGTAACAATGGCAGGACAGCTGCTTGTGACGCAGCGTATGGCTGCGGCGCGTCACAAGAGCCAGAATTTACTTTTGAGCTCCTGGCGTCCGACCAGCCCCCAAGCCAGCTCTCAGTGGGAATCGGGCCCCCTGCTGCAGCCCCCACCTGCCACTAAGCCCGCCGAGTCTGCAAGCTCCGGTTCCTTGCCATTCGCCGGCCGCTGTCTGCGCATCACACCTACCCATGATTCAAACCCTTCCCGTGTCGCGTTTTTCAGTCAAGTGAGCAAACCCAGCACATTGGGACATGCCAGCGGCGGCTTATTCCAGTCGCCCACACGCGGTGCAGGAGGCGTGTTTGCTTCAGGGTTTGGACGGCTCCGCTACGCCGTGCGGCCCACTCACCCTGTCGTGCCACCTTTCAGCCGTCTCACCTGCAAGATCTGGCCTCAGCATGCCCTGTACCCATGTTCAGGGGCGGCTGGAGTTTGGGTGAGCAAGGCGAGCAACAGTTGCGGCGGTTGCCGCCTGATGTGATGACTGATTAGTCATCAGCATGGCGCTGGTCGCCAGGTTGGAAGTGCCTTGGGTGCAGCAACGAAGGCAAGATGGTTGGGGTCACGGCACGCATATCCCACATACACGGCAACTGATTTGTTTCCCTGATGAATTTGGGGCCTGAAGGTCTATCCAGGCAAGGACTGACTGAAATGTAGCCAAGGTTGCAGCAATGGGGCTGAGCCTGACGAGGGGTCGAGCCTGCGGGCTGGCACTTGTGAACGGTTTCGAAGTAGGTCAGGCAGACAGCTGCAGTATCCCGCGTACAGGGACTGGTATCACTGGAGAAACAGAGTGCTTATTTTGGCGTTGGGCTTGTAATGGTCGAAGGCACGCTTGTGCCTGGCAGAACTACAGGGGTTGCAACAGTCACTGCGAGTGGCACCGGCGTTCGCTATGTTGGCCAACATCATGTTGCCCGGGCAGCAGGCTGCAATGGTATGAAAATTAAAAGTGCCGCGTCACAGCACTTTCAGACATACGTACCTCGAGCAGCACCAATTATCTGCAACCGATCCGATCAATTTCAAGGAGCAGGCGCTCACGGAGCCCTCATGGAGCTGCGGCAAAACACTTACTGGTAGGTGATAGCGTTATCCACAGATTTCGGTAGCCATATGCCCGGGAAAGTCCTCCATGTTGGGACCAGTGCGCCGCTGCTGCCCACCGCGCTCCCGCTTGCCCCTAGTGTACACCAAGCCCGCCGCTGCCGCCCCCGCCCCGCCAGGCTGCTGCGCCATGGCAGGAGCAAAGCCAACGAGGCCAGCATCATCGTCAGCTCGCTGGTGGGCGGCCAGCCTATGGCGCGGCGCCGCTGCGCCACCTTTTCGCAGCCGCCCCGAGCCTCCGCCATTTCCTGCCCGCCCGCCCGAGCGGCGCGGCGCCTGAGCCCCTGCTGCGATGTGGCGCGGCGCCTGAGCCCCTGCTGCGATGTGGCGCCCGCGCCCCTGAAAGGTCATAACACCCGCACATTCCTCTCGGTGAGAGCCATTACAACCCATATCCCTGCCCATCCGGTGTTCAGGAAAACGGGGTCAAGGAGGCGTATGCTTTGACCGATGCGGGCCAGGAGCAGGCGCGCGCGGCCGGGTGAGCGGGGCCGGCGCTCCTGTTTGCAAGGAGCGGACCGCACCGGACAATCAGCAGCGGCGGCGGTGGCAGCGGCAGCGGCAGTGGCAGCGGCAGCGGCAGCGGCAGCGGCGGCAGCTGCAGCAGCCGAAGTGGCACCAGCCGCAGCCATAGCAGCAGCAGCCGGCACGACGTCCGCTGGAGCGATCCCACCTCGCCACGGCCTGGCCGAGGCAGCCACCAGCTCAGCGTCTGCCCTGCGATAGCAGCGGGGCCCTTCGTGGGCCGAGCGGCGGCGCCCCTACCCACTCCCTTGTGAGGCCGCAGCCCCCTACGACCCCGCATGCGCGCCCGGCGCATGACCAAAACACTGGTCGGCTTCGACACTAAACCCTGGAAAAGTTTGCATGCCGCGCCCCAACCCCGCAGGCAGCTGTTTGGGTCTGAGCTGTCGCGGGCGGGGCTGGGGCCGGGGCAGGTGGTGGTCTATGCGTCGCCCTTCTCCCGCGCGCTGGAGACGGCGCGGCTGGCAGCTGAGGCGGCCGGGGTGGACGCCGGCAGCATACGCGTGAGTGCATGCACCTGGGCTGTTCCGAGCAAACGGCGTGCGGGGTTGATTTGGGTTTGCTGGCGGGTGCGGATGGGCAGGAGGAGGCGAGCCCTCTCCCGGGGTTGAGGATTAGTGGAAGGGAGGGCGCACGCGCCCGCTTGACGAGACTTCAAGTTTTTCCAAGAGGCTGCCGTCGGTGTGGGCCGAGCCAGGGGCTGGCACCGCGGCGCCAGCCGCCCGGCCGCCGGCCCCAGGCTCCCCCGTCCCGCCCGGCGACGCCGCCCTGCACCCCGACGGCCCCGACGGCCGTCACCGCGC